GACAGACAGACGGATGGATGGATGGATGGATGACAGACAGACACAGACAGACAGACGGACGGATAGATGGATGACAGACAGATAGACAGACAGACAGACAGACAGACGGATGGACGGATGGATGGATGACAGACAGACGGATGGACAATCACATACAAAACAGTAAAATTGTTCACTTGCAAACACCATTTATTGATGCTGTTCCATTATTACAGTATTATAATTCCATTTACAATGATTTATAATTTTAACAACATTTTATATTACTGTGACTTTTTATATTACAGCTTAAAGAGTTTTAGTCTGTCTAGCAGGTATCAACTATATGAAAGACATGTTTAACAGCTGTACTCAACCTTTCTTTCTTTTCTTTTATTTATTTATTTATTTTTATCTATGATTTATGCAGAAAAAAACTGCAAATTCCTCATCCTGGATAAATTCTGATCAAAGAATATGTGGGCTATATTTCTACACATAGTTATGTAACCAAATGTTTGTTTATAGATGTTGGTGCTAATCACAACCACTGTGTAATTTGAAATAAGGCACAGTAAAAGACACAGTGAAACAACCACAATTATAGCAACCAACAACAACATCTGAACTGATCATCCTAAACAAGCGGCAGTCCATGGAAAAGCACTTGACTGACACTGACACTGTGTCCTCTGCAGTTGTAATAACAGTATTTAATGGTTATAGCTTCACTAGATTCCACTACGGGCTGCTCTGCTGCTCAAGAATCTCCATAGGCACAGTTTCTTTAAGGTCACTCAGTTTCCTGGAGAAGGAAGACAGTCTTGTGCTGATAGAATCTCTTTTCTGCGTCAACATATCCCCGTAAAACTGCCACAGCTTCTCTCTGAAGTGATTTCCCACAAAACAGTACAGGAAAGGGTTTATGGCACAGTTGGAAAAGCCGAGGCAGAGAAATAACGGCAGGAGTTTATGGATCGCCTGAAGCACCCAGCAATCCCACTCCACACCCAGTTCTCCCAGAGCTCCGAGGAACGCCAGCACGTGGAATGGGAACCAGCAAAAGAAAAACGCCAACACCACGGCGACCACCAAACGCAACACATGGACCAGTCGGGTATAGTCTTGCTCCAGGTAGTTTGGGGTGGCCAGAAGGTGCACCGCGATTCGGCTGTAGCAGGTCGCAATGATGACAAATGGCAGGAAGAATCCGAGGGTGTTCTTCGCAAGAGTTAACCCGGTTTGCCAGTAGGAACTGGGGAAATAAATTACACAAGCCGTAACATTGTTACTGGAAATAATGTGTATGTCACGGAACACAACTGTTGGCAAAGTTGTCAAAGCCGCCACAACCCAAATGATGCCGCTAACACATCTGGCCTGATTTATGCTCCTACTGCTCTGAGAGTGCAGTGGGTAGACGATGGCGTGATATCGATCAACACTCATACAGGTGATGAAAAATATACTAGCGTAGACGTTTATCGTTACCAGACCTCCACACAGTTTACACATAACCTTCCCAAAAACCCAGTTGTAATCCAGTGAATAGTACACAGCCCAGAATGGCAAAGAGCTCAGGAACAGTAAGTCTGACATGGCTAGATTCATCAGATACGTGTTGGCTACGGTCCTTCGTCCTGAACTGTGATACAAGACGCACACCACCAGCATGTTCCCAAGAAAACCTAGTAGGAAAATGAGGCTGTAGAAAGTGGGGATCACTTTCTTCTGGTACTGCGAGGTGGAGGTGGATATGTAGTCACATGAGTTCATATTATGAATTGTCATATTATGGTGAAACAAAGACACACTGGGTCCAGTCAGGTTATAGGTGGATTCTGTTTCCATGGCGTCACTTTTGATTATGCAGAATGATTCAGGAACGGGAGTTCTGAAGTTCTGGAATGAAAAAAAAAACAGAAAGAGCTTTATGCAGTGATAATGCAAGTTCTCATGTGAAGCAGAAATGATGAAACATGTTATTGTAGCCTTGGGATAAAATGCAAAATCATCTATCATGCACCATTTATCTTAAACCTTCACTAAAACTTCTTGGTCCCCTCAAATAGGAAAATACAAGATTGTGAAACTCCTGAAAGTTTTGCCCAAAAGCAAAGAAATAAAAATTAATAAAATGGCTATAAATCACAGGCTGAATTTCACAGGTTGCCAGAATAAATAAAAAATGACTAAATAAAAGTGAGGAAAAACTTCTCTAGTGAGCTTAAAAAGTGTGTGAGACTATACATAAAAATGTTCAAATCCTCCATGGACACTTTGAATCCTATTTAAAAGCATTTGTCCCACAGTTGTGGACAGCCTCATTGTCTGTCTGTTACGAGCTATATAACAAAATCCCACCGCATACTGACCATCTAGAGTCCACTGGGACTGATGTTGCAGCATCCTCTCCAGAGAGAGTATAGGGTCCTAAGTGTCAAGAAGTTTGATTTATTGCCCCTCATAAACCCCCCTCCTCCTATCATAAATGGACACCTGTTTGGACACCTGTTTCTGTACACCCCCCACCCCCTCCACACCGACATGTGGTTATCC